CACTGCAGCACAGGGTCGGTCCTGGAAGGACCCAACAGCCGATGCCTCCTCCCCCCACTCCCAGTGTCAAATCCCACAGCAGCTCCCCGCCCAGGAGAAGGCCCGGTGACTGCAGGGCTCTCTGGAGGCACAATGCGAGGACCAGGAACCAATCCAACAGACCCCCGTGATTGCGATTCAGAACAATCAATCTGAGTTGCAGACTGGGAAAGGAACCCAGGAGACAGAGGGGAACACTAAAGGCCACTGTTATCTCCTCCCCGAAGCTTGTCTCTAGCTTTCCCCAGCATGAGTCCGCTAGTTGTTGGGGCCAGCACAGGGCTACGGAGTTCTGGGGAAAGGGGGGCTGGGGCTCCAAGGCCACCCACCTGCACCAGGAGCAGTCCTTCACATCGAACCGCAGGAGGTCGTTGAGCATGGTCTTCCTGAAAGACAGCCAGGCACAGGCTGGGGTCAGTCCTGGGCTGGTCCCAGTCTGCTCTCCAGGACCCAGGAGATGGACACTGCAGCCCGGGTGGTGGGGGTGGGGCCATCGTGGGGACTCAGCCACGGTCAGGCAACCAGCTGATGCCTGAGGGACCAGGGAGTGACCACAAAGGGCGCGCCCCCACTGGTGCAGGTACCAGGGCGGTGACACACATGGGACCCACCTGCCTGGGGTCGGGTCCAAAGCATGATCCTGACTGCTTGAGGGCTCACACCTCACGGCGGGCTCCAGGACCCCCTACTCTCACTCCCAAGTCTCAGCGCCCCCTTCTCTGAGGTTGTGTCACAGGCAGAGCTTCCCACATATCCTGGGAGGCCCTTTTGCTCCTCTCTAATCTTCCTTCCTCCTCTTTATTGCAAAGCCAATGTAACTACATTCAAGATACAATAAAAAAGGAAACAAATGCACTGGCCATGTACCAGGACCTGCAATGTTACCACCGCACTCCTGTCAGTAAGAAAGAAAAAGGGAGTCAATCGACAGGGGCCTGGCACCCCTTGCAGGCCAGGCCTGTACAGGATCCCCCCTGCACCCCTCCCTCAGTCTGTAGCAGGGGGCTGTGCTCCCCACCTGCATTTACAGAAGAGGAAGTGGCCTGGGAGATAAAGGGTCTGTCTAAGGCCATGCAGTCAGGAAGCCAGGAGCTGGGAAGCAGAGATGTGACTGTAATTTCTCCCTTCTCCCATCTGCCCCTCCTCCCCTTCCCTTTCTCCCCCCTCCCCCTATCGGACACTAGGAAGCCTTCTTTTTTGTACCCAGTCCATCTTTGCACCCAGTCCATCTTTGCAAAGTTGCACGCAGAGTGAGACAAATCTGTACCCTGTTTCTTGGTGCCACATTGTAGCGAGACTTTCTGCTCATTGCTACACAGTTGCCATGACAACGCTACCTGCTACAGAACACTCCTAGGGATGCTCCCCGCTACTGCCCTGGGCTGAAACCCCCCACCTTTTCCAGTCTGGGGGTTGTCATTAAGCCTGCAGTGACCATCTCTGAGCAGATGCCTCTTCCTCTTTCATTCCTTCATGGGACACACATTTACTGAATTGTCCGTGTACTGGGTACAGGTCCCGCCCTGGTGGAGGACAGAGTTGTGTGCTCTGAAATAACACTGAGACGATCCCGTGCGATCTGTGCTCTTACCATGGAGCCAGCAAGAGGTGCAGAAGGGGAGGGAGGGCCAACAGCTGGCCCAGGCGGTGGGGAAGGCCTCACTCACAGCATACTCTGAAGAGAGGTGGGAAGGGCGGGAAGGAGAGAGCCACCAGTACAAGGGTCCAAGCAGGAGATGCTTGGTTCACTCAGAACACAGCGAGGCAGTGGTGTGGCCCAGCACCGTGCAAAACAAGGGCAGAGGAGCAGGGCAGGCACAAGTATATAGGGCCTTGTTGACAGCCAGGATAGCTCAGGCTCTTAGTCAGAGGAAGGGGAGCCATCCCGGGACTATGGGCTGAGGAGGAACACAATGAGACTTGCATTTGCAGATCCCTCTGACTGCTCATGAGGAAGAGGCTGTGGGGGAGACAGGCTGGAAGCCAGGGCCATTCTGCCTGGTCTGCGGGTCCTCATGGGGTCCTGTGAACCCCACCAGCGCCAAGTCACCCCCCCCCAGGGAGTCCTAAAAAACCAAGGCTGCAGAACCAATCAGAGGCCAGCCCTTCTGGGCTTCAGACGAAGTCCTATAGTTGAAGGGAAGGGATGGACTCATGAGTAGAACAGGTCATGTGCAAACACCATACCCGCAGAACAACCTCCATCCCGAGCCCTTCCCAGCTTGGTGCTCACTGAACCCCAGGAGCACGCTGCAAAAGCAGGGTGTATGGCCGCCCCTTATACAGAGAAGACCACAGTGCAGTTAATGCTGTTAAGCTACCTACCCCGGCCCAAAGTCACAAAGCTCTGACTTAAACTGAGCCGGGTCTATCAAGGAGACCAAAGTTCAAGCCTCAACCCCACATCTAGCAGGCTCCCGAGCCTCCCAGAGCCCTGGTGGGCATCCCCCGCCTTTCCTGACCACATCAAAGAATGAATGGCGGGGAGGGAAGCCCTGCCCAGACTCCAGGCCTGGTGCCATTCTGCATTCCCCAACCCCGGGCCATTGCCCATGCTGATCCCTCTGCTTAGAACACTCGTCCTCTTTTACCCGATTCACTCTGACTTATCTTTCAGGTCATCAACCTCTCCAGGAAAGCTTCCCAGCCCAGACCAGGCCCCCTTCTCCTCTCCAAGCACGTAGGCTATGCCCACACCCAGTACTTAACAGGGCCCAGCCCATGATAAGAGGTAAAACAGTTCTTTCCCTCTGGGAATGGGTCTTAGGGGAATGCCACCTGGGGGAACCAGCTGCACAGACCAAAGGTTTGCCTCTGCCATTACCTCTCACCCAAGGAAACCAGCCACAACCTAACTGGGAACAGTTCCTGGCATGGAGGTGTCCCAACCAACAGAACACCAAGTCATTGTCAGGAAAGCTGTTTCCCAGGAATTTCTAGCAACGTGGGAAAACCTTTACAAAAAGTGCGAAATAGGGAAAATAAATAAAACTGTCCTCTAAACGCTGCCATGTGGGGCATGTTGATAACGCCCAGAGAACTGAATGAAAAGTGTCTGGGGAGGGTGGCAGCCAGAGCGGATGTCTTTCTTTCAAGGCCCTGTCCACTCGCTCAAAACAGGAGGCACATTTGTGTGTCCTAAGCATGTGCTACCCACTGAATGCTGTGCAGAGGGCCTTGAGGGTAGGGTCTCTCATGTGGAGAAACAAAGGCTGAGGACTTAGCTAACTCAGTTAGAACCACCACGTTTCTCCCTCCCTGGTCCAAACACTCTGAAGCTCACGCTCACTCACCCATTGTCTCCACCAAATACATAGATGGCGTCTTTATAGGCCACCACTGTGTGCTTGCTGCGCCTGGAAAAGAAAAAAGGGGTGGCTGGCAGTGAGGCTGGGACCGTCCCCGGGGCAGCCAACAAATGAAACTAAGCACCCAGGCTGCTGCAGAAATCAGGTAACACCTCCCAACTGCCCAAGATCGCTAGAGATCCCCAAATTCCACAAGTACCCCAGGACCCGGTATATGGGGACACTGACATTGCCCTGGGACTCTCTGGACTCCTCACCCCACTGCAGAGCACCTGGGAACCCAGCTCCAGACCCACAAACATCCTCTAGTACCCTGTCCCAGGCCACCCCGCTCCGAGACTCCCTCAGAACACCCTGATACGGCCTCGACATCATCCTGGACATCACCACTTCCTCCCCACCCCCCATTACCAGATCCCACTCCTGGACACCACGCCCCGGCCTCGGTCCCTGGACCCCGCCCAGGGACCTTCTCACACACCCCCGCCATCCCCAAGCCGCCGTACCGGGCCCCCACGAACTCGTCGCAGGGCGGGAGTCGCCGCCAACGATGCACTGTCTCGAAGGGCCCGAAGTTGAGTGTCAGGTACTCAACACTGTCCGAGCAGCTGTGGTCAAAGTCCACACTCGGGGCTACCTTGGACCTTGCGCTGCCTGCCAGGGCCCCGGCCCCAATCGGGCCTCCCGAGCCCCCCGGCCCAGCCATCCCGGGTCCACGCCCGATCTGCCACCGGGTCCGCGGGACTTGCGGCCGCCGCCCCAGGCCGCCCCTAAGGACTACATTTCCCGGCGAGCCCTGTGCAGAACGCGCCGCACTTCTGGCCTGCGCCGCACTTCCCGGCAAGCTTAGCGCCCCTCGTGGCTCCGCGGGCCCGCGGAACCTCTGGGAAGGGGGGAATGAGTAACCCTCTGGGAAGCGTTCCCCACAAAGTACGCGCGCCAGATTTCCTCTTCCACTGAAGACGGCATCCAGGCTCCAGCCCCGTCCGCACTGGACATCCCCGTCACCGGGCAGGCCCACGCGGCCCGGAGATGGGCCACACTTCCCGGCATGCCCTGTGTGCCGGAACTCGGCCTTGACGGTCCGCCGCTCTTGGGATCCTGGGTGGAGGGTTCCGGGCTTTCAGCAGCCTGGGAGGGAGCCCGACTATCCCCTTACTGCCTGCGCCCCCACTTCTGGCCCCCCGTTTCTCCCCCTCGGCATTCCTCTTGACTGAGAGGCAGAGTGGTAGAGAGGCTCTAGATTCTCGTTCTTACTTAATAGCAGAGTCTCATTTTCTTTACCTGGAAAATGGGGATTCGGGGAGTTCTGGCTACCCTGAAAAGCATGGGATCTATCTCAGGACCCGGCCCCTACAGCCCTACCTAGGCACATGCCCCCACACCGCCAAGCGCCAGCTGTCTCTGACCTCTGAAGAAGCACTTCCCATCTCAAACCCTTGGCATGTGCTATCCCTTCTTCCAGGAGCGCTCTTCTTTCAAAATCCAGATTCAAGACTCTGGTTGGAGAAGCTTTCCCTAACCCCAGGGGCAGAATCAATTGCTACCTCCCCTGAGTGCTCATAGGCCAAACTCGTGTCGCACTGAGCATTGTGTGATTGTGCTTTCTCCCTCACGAAGTTCTGCCCAGTTACAATGGAAGTCACACAGATCTGCAAATGTGTGCGTTTTAATTTTAAGATAATATCTAATATTTTGCAGGGTCCTGCAAGGGTCCAGTCTCAAGAGAGGGAGAAGAGGATAGGCCTGTCCTGCCTCCATTGCCAGCCCTCAGTGGCAGCTGAGGCCTTGGGGGATAAGCATCTCCTGGAGGCAGCAGAAGCCTCTCTGGAGGTGAGCCAGGCAATCGAAGGCAAGCACTGGGAAGGCTCAGGTTCTGCCCTGGGAGATCCTGGGAAATTGGAGGTTGGCACCTGCCCCCAGGGCTTGGCCTCTGTCCCTGGTGCCCAAGCGTGCCTGCCCAAGTCTGCTGCATGCGAGCTCAGGATCCTTTCCCTGTGAGCCAGGACATGTCGCCGGTCCTGCAGGAATGAGGGGAGGAGGAGTCAGGGTAGAACACAGCAGGTTACCCACTTGGCACCATGAACAGGTGATCCCTGAGGACAGCAGGGGACCTGCTCTGTGCCAGGCCCTGATGCCCAGGAGAAATGGGTACTTAGGCAGAGAGGGGAAGTCCATGGGGTACAGGCTCTGGGCTGAGGTGGGAAAGGCTCAGAATGGTCAACAGGAGGGACAGAGGACCACGTACTTGCTGTGCAGCACAAACAGCCTTTTCGAAGGCAAGGGAGAGAGAGAGAGAAGGCCAGGGAGAGGGAGAGAGTATGTCATTCATCATGTTGCCTCTTGGTTCTCTATTGTTTCCAGCCCAAGGCCTACTCCTGTCCTGTGGCCTCCAAGCTTTCCCCAGTCCCTGAGCAGGGGGAGGGGGGCCTCTCTGTAGGCGCTTTGAGCCTACAGGGTGACTCCCATTGCCACCATCCTGGGGTGAGGGTAATGGCTGACATCCAGTGTCCCCCAGACACCAAACAACCACCAACATCACTAGCTGCCTGTCCCCCCCACCCCTAGCTTCTGCCAGTCTCAACACAACCAAATCCAGTTGGGTGTCCAAGGCCAGATGACTGCCCAAAGAATGGATTTGACCAAGGGCTTTGACCCCCTTCCCATAGCACTGGCTCTGCCCTGGGACACAGCCTCTTTCCCTCCTTCTATCACCCCAAGAACACAAATAACCAGCCCACTCGTAAACTACAACCCTTGTCCCACGCCACCCCATAGACCTGATGCCCCGTAGACTGATGTGGACCAAGAACAGGGGAAGGAGTCTGTAGGGCTACAGGAGTGGATGGCTACCAAGGGCCAGTCCCTTGGGGGACCTCTCCCTCCCCCCACCAAACCTCTAAAGCCCACACTCACTCCACCTCCCGCTTTCGGATGGCACGGCCGGAGGCTAGCACCTCAGCTACCTTGGACACGATGGGATCGTAATTCATGCTGGCCACAGCAATCACCTCATCGCCTCTGCAGGGACAGAGTAACTGAGCCTGAGGACTGCCCAGAAATAACTTTCCTTCTTGGAGACCTTGATGCACTCCTCTTCAGCTGGGGCCCAGGGAGGGATCTTATGCAGGGTAACAGGACTGTCCTAAGCACCCAGCCCTCCTTGCTTTCCTTGGCCCGACGTGGGCTTGGGGATCCTGTCAAAGGCCCATGGAGGCTCTAGCCTTCCTCCTCAGTGGAGTTCAGGGCTGAGCACCTGTCCTGGGATCACCACTCTCTACTTGTGTGACTCTCCTCAGTGTAAAAGTGGGAGTCCACAACCCCTACTCAAAGAGCTGTTCTGAAAATAAAATGTCCTGCCTCAAGACGTGGCTGCTGGACTTAATACTACCCAGCCTCCTCACTTGGCCTTGGAGGGTCTCCTGCCTAGCTGCCTCCTCTGTCCACCTTTCAGGTAGGTCCCTCCACTGGAGCAGAGCTCCTCTGGGATGAGCTCCCCCTTCCCGACCTTCCCGACCTTTGCTTCGCGCCGCCTTCCACCCCGTTGCTCTCACTTGGTGTAAAAAGCCACGAACTTGAGCTCTTCCAGATCCCCCTGGATGATGACGTCGTCGAAGCCTTCTCCGTACCCTGTGGGCCGAACAGGAGGGGATGGGACTCCCCCAGGTCAGCGCCCAGTACTTTCCTAAGTGTTCCCTGGAGCCCCCCACCGTACCCAGCTCCTTTGTCCTTGTAGGTGGTCCTCAGTGCCGCCCCCCAAGCAGTTTTCGCACTTACGGCGGACGTGCTCACGCCCCTAGGATGCTCATTGCCCCGTCCTAACCCCCAGGCTCCGCCTCCGCACTCCGCTAACACCTTAGCCACACCCCTAAATGCCTTTGGCCCCGCCCCTGCCCGGCGCCCCTCTGTTACCAGCGTAGCGCAGGCTCTTGCCAAACATGGCTGTCCACAGGTAGGGTACGGTGCTGATCTCCGCCTCCTGCGCCAGCATGTTCTGCGCGGCCACCCGCCCTGTAGGACCCAGGGTCGTGAGAGCCCCGACCCTAGCCCTCACCACCCCTACACTGCCTGCCCGGGCTCTCCGGGGACCTCTGACATGTGGGGCTACTCCCCTTCCTTCTCTTCCTCCTCACCTCCCCAGAGGTCAAGTAATGCATCACTGCTCAGCCCACTGCCCACCCCCGGTTGCAGCTGATCGGTGCAGAGAGGACACCTGGCTCAAAGCCAGTCACTCAGATCGCTTCTCTAGAGAATTTGAACCAAGTGCTCCAGACCTGGAAGGTCTGCTTCCTGGGGTTGGGGGATTGCCCACCATTTCTGATGCGCACACAATGAAACAGACACACCAGGTGTGAAGAGGATATCTATGGATGTCCACAGGGCTTGCTGTGTCAACTGGCTGCTCAGACAGGTCACCCCCGAGCCTTGAAAGGGTAATCCAGAGACCAGGACCCAAGGCCAGCAACTGGGGGGTGGGCCTGGGGGAGGCTGAGCCCCTGGGACAGCCCCCCACCCCCCATCCTGCCACGGGGCGGGTCATACCCTGGGCGTGAGCCATCTGCCAGTGTGGGATATTCACTTTCCGGTTGTTCCTCCAGGCCAGGGGGAAAGTGACAGCATCGCCAGCAGCAAACACACCTGGGACGTTGGTCTGCATCATCTGTGGGGAGCGGGCCGGGGGTCTATGGGTGGGACAGGGGCCTTGGCCTGATCCTGCCACCACCCCCAGTGAACACCCTACCCACCCCGCGCGGCCCCACCTTGTTGACAGGGATGAAGCCTCGGGAATCCAGATTGACGCTGCTCTGCCTCAGGAAGCCTGTGGCGGGCACGGCGCCTGACAGGACAGGGCCACCGTGTCCATTCCCCAGTCCTTCCCTTCTCCCGCCTCATTTGTCCGCCATGACCCATACCCTCCCTCACCAAAATCCAGCCCCAGACCAATAGTCCAAAGAGCAGCCCACCTAGTGGCTTTCATGCGTCCTGTCCCCTCTGGATGGACCCCCCCACCACCACCAGACTGCCCTGGCTCTCACTTCCTCTGAGAGACTCCAAAAAGCACCCCCACCCCACCCCCTGCCCCTGCCCCCCCCCATGGTTGGCATGGTGTACCTCCCCAGCTCCTACCCTGCCATCTCCCAGCTCTGTCCCTCCCCAGGCTGGCACCTGGAGGGCAGCAGGGCCCAGGTAGAGGGTTGTTTGGGTCCTGCAGGCCATGTGGGGCAGGCCATGGAGGTATCAGTGGGCAGTGGTCACTGACGTCCTCCACACCAAGCCCTGGCTACACGAGCGACTTCCACACCCCCCACCACAGCCCTGTGAAGTGGCCATTTTGTGGATATGGAGACCGAGGCTCAGGGAGGGGAAGGGACGGGCCCAGGGTCACTCTGGAGCACGTGCAGGTGCTTGCTGGCACCTGCCTGCCCACCCACTCACCGATGCCCACAACACAGACGTCAGCCCGCACAACCTTGCTGCTCTTCAGCACGACCTCCTTCAGCTGTGGGGAGGAGGTGGGTGAGCAGGGCGGCCCAGCTCCTGGGAAAGGGTGAGTGGGGGAGAGGGGAGCAGGAAGAAGGGCCCACCTTTCCCTCCTGGGCCCGCAGCTCTGACACCTCTGTCTGCATGTAGAACTTGACCCGGTTGTTCTCAAACATCTGTCAGGGCAGGCGGGCAAGGCCATGAATGAGAACATGGCGGGGCTGGGCTGGGTGCCTGGGGTTCCAAGGGGTTGGGTGCTGGGGGCTGGGGTGCGCTCACCTTCATGAGGGCACGACCAACACGTTCCCCCAAAAATCTCTTGAAGGGTGTCTCCTCCAGCTCCACCACAGACACCGAGTGGGCTTTTTCGGTCAGATAGGCGGCCACTTCCATCCCTGGGGCCAGGGTGGTGGATGGCAGGCTGGCACCTTGTGCCTCCCAGGGCCAGTACCACCCTGGGACCAGCCGTCACAGACCATTGCCCCCACCAGCCCTGACTGCTCACCCAGGAAGCCAGCTCCCACGACCACCGCGTTGCGGCCCCGGGCCAGCCTCACCACACGATTGGCATCTTCAGGTGTCCGGATGGTGAACACGTTCTCTACCTCTTTGCCTTTGCAGCTCAGCGTCTTAGGGCTGAGTCGTGGCCAGCATCAGTGAGGGGCTCCCGGCACCCCAAGCCCTCCCATCCGGCGGGGGGGACAAGGGGGAGACACCTTCCCACCTGCTCCCTGGCGCAAGCAGCAGCTTGCTGTACTCCAGCTTGAAGCCATCCTTGAACACAACCTTCTTGTTTCTCACATCCACTGTGACCACCTGCAACCCACGTCGGGCAGAAGGTGGGCCTGGGCGTGGACTTGAACCAGGCTGCCCCTCCCAGACCCTGCCAGACCCTCTCAACTGGAAGGTTCCACCGGGGCCATTCCTGACACCTGGGTCGTCCTTCCTCCTGGCTTCTCTTTACAATTCAGACACCACCTTCCCCTCAAAACCATTCTTACGCTCTCCTGTCCCAACCCTGAGCAGATCTCTGCATGTGCCCCTAAGCCTGCCAGGAAGGAGATTCAGGGCTGTTTTCCAGGCCTGGAATGCGCCAGGGTGCCTGGACAGCAGGGCCAAGAGGGCAGGACACTCCCCCCACAAGCTTCCAGGGGCCCTCATGGCCTCATGTCATTGGTGGTTCCCACTAAGCCTTCCCCAGATTTCCTAGCCTTGGCCCCATACCTGGGCCTCAGTGAGCACCTCGATACCATAGGCTCGGAAAAACTCCTTGGGCCTCAGGGCCAGCTGCTCTGGCTGGGCGTCCAGGGACTGCAGGAGATAGCTATCTTGAGATAAAGCCAGGTAGCCATTGTTCCATTTTGCAACAGAGGACCCAAGGCCTGGGGAGGGTGGGACTGGGCCCCATTCACAAAGGGGCCGTGGATAGAATTCAACAAACCCGCATCTTTTTGGAGGTACCACAGGTAGGACTGTTGTGAGCAGAGAGGGCAGCCAGCCAGACGCCCAATGGGCACTGAGAGGGCTTGACTGTGCCCAGGGGGCTGGGGGTCTGGGCCCTTCCTGGGCCCCATTTGCCCCTCCTCCCACCTTGCTGAGTTTAGGTCGGTCATAGGGGAGGTGCCGGTCCAGGGTGCACAAGACGATCCTGTCTGAGAACCCCTCTTGCCGCAGGGTCTCTGCACACACTAAGCCAGCCGCACCTGAGGGGAGGGTGCTGTGGGTCAGGGACCCCCTTCTCCCCTCTACCCCCCGCCCCTCATAACCCCACCACCAACCTGCGCCTACAATGAGCACGTTGGTGCTGCTGCTGTGGCCAGCACTTGTAGAGATACACTTGGCCATCACCTTAGTTCTTCGCTGGAGCTGCAAGGCCTAGGGATAGCCAGAGAGCAGAAGGCAGCTGGGAGCTGGAGTTGTGGACATCCTCCCTGTGCCATCATCCCAGCAGGCCAGGTCCTGCCGCTACAGTCCGGCCTCATCCCCACCAGGTAGCCTTTTACTCTGTTCCCCAGCCACAGGGCCTTTTCACATGCTGATCCCTGGGTCAAGATGCTATCCTCATTTCTCCCTTTTGCCTGAGCCCCAAGCCACACCCTCACCTGCTTGCTGGCCCGGACGTACACCTTCTCCTTCTCAATCTTCACCTGCAAGGGCTGTGTTGCTCAGGACCAGGTTTTGGGGTGCTCCAACCCCTGCCCTGCACTCCCAGGCTCCCACCCCACCGCCCAACTAGCCCCACCTGGAATTTGTGCAGACTGTCTAGGCCAGGGAAGTCCTCCAGGTCACCAGTGCTGATGTTGAAGCAGGCACCATGCCAAGGGCAGCGCACCCGGCCGCGGGACAGCACGCCTGGGGGAGGGCGGTGCCAGGCTGGGGCCACCAGCAACAGTCCCTCTTCCCTGTGTCCCAGCAGCCACTGGGTCTTCCCCATAGCCCAGGCGACCCCACTGATAGATGAGACCCTGAGGGTCCAAGGAGGACCTGAGCACCCTTCAGGGAGGTCCCGTTCCACCACCTGTGTATCCTGGGACAGCTCACCTTTCACCAGGGGTGCGCCATAATGTGGACACTTGTGGCCCAGAGCGTGGAACTCCCCGTTGTCCTTCACCAACAGCACCTTCCCCCAGCCCAGCTCCACTTCCCGCATCCTAGGGAGAGGCTGCGCTCAGACCGCAGGCTACACACCAGGCCCCACTTCGGGTGGGCACCTCTTCCCAGAGTCCAACTTTCTGGGGAGCAGGCCCAGACCAGGAGAGGCCATGATGGTGGGAGCTGGTGCGGGCGCCTGTGAAGGCCCTTTCCAGGCCTCCCAGCCCACCCCCTCCATGGCCTGCATCTTGCCTTCCCATCTTGGGCCCCTGGAAGCCCCCCACTTCCCCCAGGCCCTGCACCCACTGGCCATTCTCGAGGTCCTTGACGTGGCAGACAGCGGCCTCCACACAGTCCTGAGGGCCGGGATAGGGGTGAGGGGCGGTCAGGCGCTCCTCAGCGTGGAAGTGGCGGGCTGTGCCATTGCCCTGGTAGGCCCGGGGGCTGCCCTTCCCGCTGGCTGACAGCTCCTCCTTGCCCCGCTCCTTCTCCGGCAGCACCACCTCGATCTTGAGCTCCACTGTGGGTGGGCAGGGCAGGACAGTGAGCCCCCAGCCTGGCCCACCCCCTTCCCCACCCCACCAGCTCCAGGGCTGGCTCCTTTAAGTGAGTTCCCTCCAGTGCCTCCACCTTTCCAGAAAGCCCCCTGCACCAGCTTCAGAGAGCCTTAAAACAGGTGAGAAGGAGAACAGAGGCAGAAGGAGGGTAAGCTGGCTTGTCTTGAGTTCATCTCTGCATGTTTTCTTTTTCAGTAACAAATGAGTGGGGGGGCACGAGGGGGCTCCTTTGACCCTGACATTGCCTTTTGTCCAAGAATCTATGTGGGAGGAAAGAACCCTGGTGCCCTGAGCCCTGCTCAGACTCCAACGGCATGGTCGCTGATGGCAGAGGACGTCCCTAAAGGGTCAGGTCACGTGTAGAGTCAGACCCAGGTGAGAGCAGGATGTCCAAATCTGGGTGCGGCTCATTTCCTGGCCAGTGATCTGGGTGATGGCAAACAGAAGGTCTGTTGGTCTGTTTGCAACTTTCCCATAGGTTTGAGGGTTGTTGTTTTTTTTTTTATTAAAAAAAATGTACACAATTTATTTTCAACTTCTTAAAATAGATATGCTCACCAATGTAGGAACCCATCATTTGCCAAGCCCTGGGTTTTCCATGTTTTCATGTGCAGGGGTCTGGGGCCTTGGGTGTGAACCCCACCCGAAAAGGTGGTGCAGAGGGTGTGCAGGGCCCACCTCTCCAAGCTTCCACGAAGAAGACACTTCCCCAGAGTGCCCATGGGACCCGTTCCAGCAGGCAGTTAGCTGGTTTTCGTCTTTATATTTCTCTGCATTTTCTAAATTCCCTACAATGTGCCTGGGGTGTTTTTCTAATTAGAAGGGAACAATAAACAGAATTTTTAGCAGCGATAATCCGGCCTCCTGGATGGAAGCTAAGCCCCTGGCCCAGCATGGGCCCATGAGGAAGCAGGAGGGGCTTCTCCCAACTCCCAAGGCACCAGGGCCTCCAGGCCTCTCCCCATTTTACCTCTCATCCCCTCCACCCCAGACCTTGGCACTCCAGAAACAGAGAACATGGAATCACACCTCTGGGCCTTCTGCCTATGCAATTCCCTTGGCCTGGGTTGTCATCCTTCCCGGCCCTGGCGTACCCCTGCCCATCCACCTGGACAGTTCAGTTGCTGCATCCTCTGGCTGCCCATTCCTCATCTCATGCTGGGCTAATCTCCCACCCTGGCCTGGACTGGAGCTGGGGAAGGCAGGCCCACACCCCTTATCCTCAAGTCCCAGCTCTTAGCCTGGCCCAGGCACAGCAGGGGGCAGGGGTGAAGGTCTGCTCCATGATTCCAGCTGGGCAGGAAGGGCCCTAAAGCCCACCACCATGCTGAAGCTGTTGGGTCAGGTGATGGGGGAGAGGGAGATTGAGGGTGGGGTGGGTTCTTTGCCTCCACTTTCCATACTTTATGTAATGGTGTTAGAATGTTTTGAAAAGAATTAAAAAGGAAAATACTCCCAACTCAGCTGACACCAGCTATGTGAACTGTAGAGAGGAAGCTCACAGGAACAGCCTGGCAGGGGCCCAGATAACAGCCAAGCCAGATTGTTTGTATCCTCCACGTCCTTCCAGAAGGCTCCAAGGGGCTCGCCAATGCAATCTAACGGGAATCCATTAAGTCAGAGGCAGTAGTGGAAAGGTGGATGAAGAGGGGGGGTCTCTGCCCACCCACAGAGCCAGATCAACCCTAGCATCATGATTCCCGGGAGCCCATGTGACCATGCACCCTTGCCTTACCCCTTTGGACCTCAGATGCCTTCATTATAAAACAGAGAGAACAGTGTCTACCTCCTTGGTGATAGGGAATGCTGAAGGATTTAATATATGTAACTCAGACTAGAAACTCAATAGATGAAGTTGGGGAATAGCATTGTATTGTTAGCTCTGAGCCTCCTGGCAGCCGCGGCACAAAGGGAAAGCCTTTAAGTGGCACTTGTGGCCTCAGAAAAGGCAAGCGACTAGATGCCAAGAGAGCTGTGCTTCTTCCTAGTTCTGAGCTTGGCAAGGGTCTGGCCCGGAACACTTCTTATCACAGACCCAGAGCCAATGGAATATGGGGAGTATAGAGCGAGCTCAGGAAATGTGTGCTGATGTGGTCCAGTCCAGAGTCAAGCAAGATGGTAGGTAGAGTTTGCACAAAGACCTTTGGTTTGCTCTGGTCTCCCTGTAGACCCTCTTGACCCCAGCTGAACTTTTATGGCCCAAATGCTCCCACTCACACACGCTGACATTCTCTGAACCTCACCCTTGACCTGCCCAGTGTAGGTGCCTAGGGGTCTAAGCTCCAACCTAATAGCCATAGCCCCATAGGGGAGTCCTAAAAGCAGGGAGCCTACCTCCAAAAATATCCAAAAAATGTTCTACACATACCCCTTCCTGTGTGCCAGGCCCTGTGCTAAGCAAGACAGTGTGCATGGGGCGGGGCAGGGGAGGGTGCAAAATTGTTAGCTCCACTTATACATGAGAACATAGAGGCTCAGAGAGGTGAAGTCACCTGCCCAAGGCTATACAGCCAGAAAGCGGCAGGGCTGGATTTGGGCTCAAGAACGTAAGTTCTCACCACTGCCTCTGGGGCAATGAGAGCTGTCAGCTCCTGACCTGGGAGCTGGGGGCCAGGGGTCTCAGGCAGGCCAGCCTGTTGAAGTCCTTTAAAGGAAGCTGCAGGTGGCATCCTCTGCTCTTGGCGTCCTGCCAGACCAGCTAGCATTTTCCTGCCCACTTCTGATGGGGGGAAGGCTGAGGTCAAGACAATGGCCATCATTCACCGAAGTCATACGTGGAGCCAGGAAGGGTGTCAGGATCAGGCCCAGAACTGGGTACCCACAGGATGGGCATGGGGGGAGGGACAGCTGGTCCCTGAGACAGGTGCGGGTGGGGGGCGTCCCTTCTGCCTGGCAGGACATTAAAGGTCCCCTCTTGCCCCCAAGTTCTCCCTCAGACCCAGGAAAAGGAGAAAAGGCTCATGTGTTCCAAGGTAATGGAGCCGATGGGTATCAGGTATAAGGGGAGCTGGCAGGGGCAGGGTGGCCTGGGTGGCAGGTGGGCGGGGCACTGACTGGGCACGAGAGAGGCCTCTCTGGGCCTCCATGTCTTCATCTGTGACAGGCCTCCATTCTTTTGCCTTCCTGAGTGTTGTGAAGAGAGAGAGGGAAAATAGGGGCTGGAGAGAGAGCCCAACAGGCAGAAGTCTCCATGGAGAGCACATCCAGGCCTCCTCCCTTAGCACCCAGGAAGCCCCAACCTCAGGCCGGAGCCCCTCCGGCCAGGCAGGGTAGGATTTCCTGCACAAATGGGGCAACTCAGTTCAAGGTCACACAGGGCATCAGAAGAGGGCTGTGATCTGTCCACCCCACCCTCATGGCAACTTTGATGGGTCAGGCTTATTTTGTAGAGAGGGAACAGAGGCTCAGAGAGGTAACTTGCATGCCCTGGGTCACACTGCAGCTATGGGTGTCCTCTTCCCCAGCCCTAAGGGGAAGGCCCCCCTGCCCTATCCTGGAGCAGGAGGAACCCTAACTTCTACTTTCTGAGAGAGGTTCAGCTGCTATTTCCCCCAGAAGCACCCAAAGCCCCAGATAAAGAAGGGGACCCATTGGAGGGGGGCCAAGAGAAGGCTCCAGGCCCCTCACCCCCTCCTGCCTACAGGGAATTAACATTCTGAGCAGCCGGCTGCCCAGCCTGACCTACTTCGGAGGCAGAGGGGGGAGAGGGAGGAGGAAGGTGGCTGGAGGAGGGGAGGAGGGAGGAAGGGAGGGAGAGGGGAAAGGGAAGGGAGGGAGGAGGGTAAGGAGAGGGAGGGGGGAGGGTGGGGAAAGGGATGGGGGAGGATGAGGCAAGAAGAGAGGAGGTACCTGGCTTGGGTTTGGAGAAGCACCCACCCATGGCGAATGGCCCACAGCTGATGGGGGGGCAGGCACACAGATGGTAGGCTGTGGGAGGCCTAGGGTGCCCCCGAAGGTGGGGCTGGACTCCCCATGGCCCTTAGAGATGCTGGAGCTGCCATCCGGGGCCGGAGATGCCTCCAGGACCTGCAGGGGAGACAAGGGGCATCTGTAGGGACCAGGGCTTTGATGGGGGTTGTGGAGAGAGACGCAGAGAGATAGAGATAGATGGGGGCAGCGACGGGGGCGGGGGGCGCCTTCAGGAAGACGCACACATTTGAGTTGGGATCCACTGCCTATAGGGGACCCTGGAAGGCACCTCCCTTTTGAGGCCCTCCAGCCTCCCTACTCTCACTCTCCCCTCCCATTTTTGCCTGTGGGCTGTGCCTACTGCCTAGGGGGCCCTCTGCTCTGATCTCAGCCTTTTTGGTCCAGCCCCACAGTGGCCTTGTCTGGTAAAACCTCATTTCTGCAGCCCACTGGAAAGCCAGCAGCCTGGGAGCCCTGGGACCCTCCATTCTTCAGGGAGCTCCCACCATGCTTGGGGTCCAAACCCAGGTCCTCTCAGGCAGATCAGAGCCCTCCTGATTCTGTAGTTTCTCCTTCCTACAATGGGGGTGACATTTAGTTCTCCTGGGCCCTGGCCCCCACTCTGGCTGGCCCCCACCCACCTCCTCCAGGCAACCCCTGGTTCTTCCTCCCAGCCCAGCAGTGGATGGAGGCTTTCCAGCTCTGGAAGGCAGGGCAAAGGGGGCAGGGGTCCAAGAGGTGGCCCAGCCTCCAGCCTCTACCCCTCCTCCCAGGGTGAGTGAGGCCAGGAGACACTGGAGGGTGTGGGTGGGTGGGGGTTGGGCTGGGCCAGTCCGCTCTGGTCCCCAGGGAAACCCAGCTCCACGGTGAACAGAAGTAGGCGGCTAGCCCAGGCCTGATGGGGTTGGGGGAAAGGGAGCCCAGGCACACAGCCCATGCCCAGCAGCCATGAGCTCCCACCCTGTACACAGGCCCCCCACTTCGCAAATGCTCTCCAGGCCTGTGGTGCTGAGATGCCATCCAACAGCAGTTGGAGAAACTGAGAGGCCAAGGGCTTGCCAAAGTCAAGCAGCAGGAAGGGGCATCCAGGTGACCTCCCACCTCCACCCTGCCTTGGTTAGTTTCAAGATGGGCAGGGACCCAGGAAGCCCCCATATCTCCCTACAAGCCACAGGGCTGGGCAAGAGGTCACCAGATCAGAGTCCTCAAGGCCACAGGGGCGGCCTCCTGGAAGATTCGGCTTACAGACCGGACTTTGGAAGCCCTGGGAGAAAGGTGTAGCAGCCCTGTTTACAAATGACCTCCCCCCAGTCCATTCCACTGTCATCCCCCCTATTTCCCCTGGAAGTTCTTCCTGAAGTCTAACTTGAGGTGGGGCTGAGGTCTACCTGGTCTTGCCCAGATCCTAGCAAAGGCTTTGAGTGGGTGCCTGAGAGCAAGGGGGCCAAGGAGGAAAAGTTGGGAAGGGCCATCTACGGCCTGGCATCTGATCTTACCAGCCCTAGTGGTGCACACTTACAGTTCGAGAGGCGGTGGCAGCCAAAGGTCACTGGCCACATGGGGCATACAGGTACTTGGTCCCCTGCTCATCACCAAGGCAGATCAGTAAGACTGAGCTACCACCTGCCCTGCCTGGCCCCTCCCTGGGCACAAGGGGGCCCTCCCCAGATCCTGGCTTCTCCTCGGGCTCAGCTGGGCCCACCTCCTTCCTGCCTGGCCTCAGGTTTCACCTGCTGGGCCACAGATGTCTGAGAAGGTGGGACCTCCACTTGCTGTCCAGTCCCTGTCTGGGCGGTTTCTCCCTCCCTGGGGTTCCTGGGGGTCCTAGACCCTCCAGGGCCTTGGGCCTGGAAAGAGATTTGCTGGGGATCGAACCTTCTCCAGGCCTACTGTGTGCAGGCAGGCTGGGAGCCCTGCTACCTCAAAGGCAAAGGTTCTTGCTTGTGGAGCAGCAGGAGGCATCCCCAAGATTTTGAGGAGTGCTGCCCCTTTCCCACAAATTAACCCAGTGCTGAAAAGTTCTAACTTTCCCACCAGGAGCATGTGTCCTCATTCACTAGGACACGGTCCCCCCAGGCCAGTGCAGGCTGGGCAGAAAAGGGATTGTGGGGAAGGTGCTGTTCACTTGGGACCCTCAGTGGCTTTCAGTCTTCTTCAGGATAGCAATCAAGTTAGAGGGGTGCCGGCCCTCACCTGCTCACTGGCAGGGCCCGGGCGCAAGCCTCCCGCGAACTCTCCCTGCCTTTGCACGTGCAGTCCCCTCTATCTGGGAGGACCTTTCTAGCAGCTTTCCCGCCCGTCCAGACGTCCTCACCACACCGGGGGGCCCCCGGAAGGAGGACGGGCACACAGTGGGACGCCGGGGTAGCGGGGAAGGGCCCCGGGCCAGGGAGGGGAGAAGGAAGAGAGGCGCTTCGGCCCCAGCTTGTCTCTCTCCTTCTCCCGCTGTCTGCCCCAGCCCCCACCGCTCCGGCCCAGGGTCCGAGACCTGCGAGCGCGCCCGCTGGTCCCGGGCGCGGAGGCAGCGGGGCCGGGACCCGATAGCCGAGCCGGGGTGGCGGGGTCGGGGTCCGGGGTCCTGTGGGCTGGGGTCCCTGGGGCGGGCGCTCACCTGGGCTCGGCGTGGGCCTCCGCTGTGGAGCCGCTCGGGGCCGCGGCCGCGGGGGGGGCGGGGGGGGCGGGGGTGGAGCAGGCGGGGGCGGGGCCGGCGCTGCGGCGACACTGCGGCCGGGGAGCCCGCGGCGCCCAGCACCGCCCCGCCGGGTCCCTGCTGGTAGAAGGGGGTCGGTCCCGGGTCAGGGGCTGGGCCGGTGGCCTCGGAATCCGCATGCGGTTCGTGGGGTGTGGGGAGGTATTGGGTGGCCCTTCTGGCCGTGGACGGCCTCAGCGGGGTCTGGGTTCCCGGGGATTCTCTGGACCCTAGAGGGGTGCCAAGTTGGGCTGCGCACCGCGTCTGATTCTTGTTTCTGTTTTTTCCTAAGTCTTTGAATCCTGGGCGGCGGAGTGACTTTTGGGGTGGGAATTGAATCACCCGAGTAACCTCCCCAAGAAGGAAAGTCCCAATCACTCGCGACTGCCCCATAGGTAGCTTGACTGTCTTTGGGGGCTCAGTCTCCTCTGTCTCCTAGCTCCCTCCCCTCTCCCCACACTTCATAAGATGTATCTTAAATTATATTTTATGATATTTTCTTTTTCCCACCTGTCATTATATCATGAGAACTTTCTGGGTCCCTCTAAATCATGACACACCCTGGTGTTGTGTCCCCTCCTCCAGGAAGCCCTCCCTGACCAGCCTTCCTTGACTCAGAGGTGATCAGGCACAGAAATTCTGGATCCTAGTTACCTCTAGTATCACTGTCCTGATTGTTCCCATCTTTGCGCTGTGTTCAGGTAGAGCTTGTACCTGCAGCAAACCAGGACTCAGTGACTATGTAGGAAATGAATGAAAGACACTTTCCAGGGAAGCCCTGTCACATCTATCATTAAACAAACACATCAGGGCCCATCAACTCTGTCCTATTAGTGCTCCTTTGGCGGCTCCTGTTGGCTTCTTGTTTTGGCCACTTCTCCCCTTTCTGGGCCTTGCTCTCCTGTAAGGATGACAAAAAAGACAGCAATGACAGTCACCTGCATCAGGCAGATCCAGCCTTCAGAGAAAGTCCTTATGACCCACCCTGCCCAGAGGGACAAGCATAACTCCCCCTCATCTTACAGGTGTACAACTTCAGAAGGCAGAGTCTCACCCAGGGGCAGGACCAGGGTCTGCATGGGTCACTCCTCTGCGGGTGGGTGTGGGGCCCAGACTTTGACGGGGACGAGTGGTACTGCTCAGACCATCCCTCTGTGGCCACGTGTGTGGTTTCTACAGTGTGACTGTGGTCACTGCCACAGGAGAGGCCCCATCAGTGGACAGATGGTGTATGGGGCCTGGTGCCCTTGGCATCCCAAACCAGGCCCCATTCCACACACTTGCTGACCTTGCAGCTCCAGCCCCCTTAGCCAGGCAGATAGTGCCATGGCTCTGGCTTCACACGCATTTATTTCTTTTCTTCACAACTGCTTCAGGAGGAAGCTTCTCTGTGCATCGTCTCCATTTGACAGTTGGGAAAACTGAGGTTTTGAGAGGTTAGGAACTCCCCCAAGGCTACCAGCTGGTGAGTGGCAAAACAGAGACTTGAATCCTGGCAGGCTGGCTAGGCTATGCGGGGCTTACCAGCGGAGGAGTAGCAGTGGGAGGGGAGAGGCCTGCCAGGCCTGACCAAGGCCCCATAAGTCTCCAGGGCAGAGTTCGAGTCTTGCTCAGGGACCCATCTGCATCAGTGAACCCCCGTGCCCAGGTTCCCCAGAAAACGTGGGAGTGACTACAGTGCCGTCCTGAGGAGGTTGCCAGATCACCATGCAGAACCATAGGAAATAGAGGGCGCTCAGGATATGGGGTAGGGGGCTGCTAAGTGTGGGGTGCCAGAGATGAGATTGGGGAACAGGTCAATGTGGGGGCTGTGCAAAAGCCAACAAGCTGCGGATATGCCCTGACATGGGGCGAGTGCTTCCCTGACATGGGGCAAGCCCACTGTGGCACACTTGGCATGAGAGATTGGGCTCGAGCTGCAAGATCATCAGGGAGCGAATGCTAATACCTAAGGTAGGCGAGGAGTGCTGCCTTGGGGATGCCTGGGTGGCTCAACTGGTTAAGTGGTTGCCTTCAGCTCAGGTCATGATCCCAGGGTCCTGGGATTGAGTCCTGCATGGGACTCCTTGCTCAGCAGGGAGCCTGCTTCTCCCTCTGCCTGCTGTTCGCCCTGCTTGTGCTCACTCTCTCTCTCAAATAAATAATTTTTCTTGAAAGTTAAAAGAAGATTTTAAAAATTAAAGAAAAAAAAAGGAGTGCTGCCTCATAGAGGCCCTCAAATTTGGGGGTGGTGCATATGAACAAGAGGACTTAGGGATATTCAGGAGGCCTCTAAGCCTTGGACAGTCTGAGGTCCTGATCTTGCCCCAAGGATGATTCTGACAAGGCAAAAACATCTGATCTGGAGAATACCCACAGGGCTGATAGTGAAGAGGGAAATTGAGCCCCAGGTTGAGATGTAGTGAGGTGACCTGGGGTGGCTGAGAGACCCCTAGACCCAACAGACACCCCAAAGGCAAGGAAGGGGGTCGCCAAGGTTTGAGAAGCTGGTGTGTGTATGTGTGTGTGTGTGTAAGAGAGAGAGGGAGAGATCCCTGCCCAGGCCTGTCTCTGTTCTCCTTTCCTCTGCCCCCTTCTGTCAGTTTTCCCTGTTCCCCATTCCCCCTCAGCCTAGGGCCTGGATGCCAGGGTGTGTGCGATGATGAACGTGACACAGGCTCAACGCTTAACATTGGGATTGACACTGGCGCCCCCTGGAGGCCAGTCTGAGGGCCAGCAGGGCCTCTGGGAGCTTTGGGATTCTGAGGGCAGTGGCTGAGACAGTAGAGCCCTCTTCCCTGCCAGATTTAAATAGATTTTCAGATCCTGAGACCTGAGTTTAACTGATTCCCAGGAAATATTGGCGGGGGGGACACAGCCCAGCCAACACGACAGCTGTGCCCACAGCTGCACAGTGATTCAATCATATGGAAGCAGAAGTTGGAGGATCCTTAGGTTGGGGAACCTGGGCCAAACCTCGCACCCTAGCCTCATTCCTGACTTGCTCTGGCTCCTGCAGCCCAGCCTCCCCCAGCCCGATTTGGTCTACACAAACCGTGTCTGAACCCTGTGTTCCCAGCACCTTCTGGGTTCTCTGTCTCTATGGTCAGTTCCAGTTGCCTACTGACTTCTTCAGCCCCTATCTTGCTACACTGACCTGTTTCCAGGTTGTGGGGTAACCAGTCCTAATTCCAGTCTTCACGGAGGGAGGGAAGTTCAGAAGGGCTTTCCTAGGAGGTGGCAAGGACTGAGGACAGACAGGCCCTTAGGAGTTCACCAGAGCGAAGAAGGGCATCCAGGCAGAAGGAATGTCCAAGCAAAGGCAAGGAGGTGAGATGGCAAATTCCACGGAATTCAGAATGGCCAGTCCAGTCTGATGTGAGTGCTGAGTTCTGGGGAGGGGCATAGCACAGAGGTATGTTACTGGCCCAAAGAGGAGTTGGGTGAGAGATTTTCATCACAGGGTCTTTTGTCACTATACCAGCAACTAGGACTGGTATTGGACTGGAATGAGGCAGATGGACCAGGAAGTCAGGAGACACCTAGGGTGAAGACTGGGCCAGAGTCAGCGGAGGGCTGGAAGGTGGGCCCTTAGACCCAAGGGTTTTCTCTCATCAGAAGATTGGCAACAACCTCCACACTCTCAAAGACAAATGTGCTAGTTTAAGCTCCCTCAGCCACATGAAGGAATATTGTTCAGCCACAAAGGGTGTCTTCAGAGCATTTGTACAAATGTTATAAATATTTTCTTATCTGTCGCTGGCAAAAGTGTAAATTAAGGTATTCCCTACAGAGGGCAATTTGGCAACTCAAAATTGTAAATGCCCAGAACCTTTGATCTGACGATTCCACTTGGAGCAGCTCATTTTAATGCATCTGACCACCTTGGAAAGGACCTACATGTCCATCACTAGTGGACTGTTGAATGAGTGGGTGGTTCAGCCATATCATGGAGTACTATGGATTGGTGAAAAAGAATAAAACCTCCACACACGCATTCACGAAAATCTTGAAAACAGATTGGGGAAATAAAGCGAGGTGCGCAACAGTAAGTAATCCATGCTACCTTGGTGTAGAGAAAACGTTTAGAAAGGATATGTACAGAGGTATTTCAGTATGCTTGTATGTTACAGAATAACTGTGGAAATGTATATAATATATAATAAACTGGAAACAGAGAGATGCTGGAGAGTGGAATGGACAGTGTAAGGATACATTTCATCAGATACCTGTCTTTTGAATGCTGCGTCTTACGGCTGTTCTTCCTCCAACCCTGATGCCAAAGAGGAATTCCCCAAACTCTTGGAGCTGTTGTGGGGAGCTCAGGTGGGCTGCAAACCACCATTCCCGAAGGGCTGGCACTGGGACTTGCGTCCCTTTCCTCTGCTCACTGGGTCAGGTGCAGCCCCTGCCCAGGTCTCCCCTCCTCTTGGTGCCCGTCCTCCACGCAGTTGCTGGACACAGCACTCCTTCCCTCCCTCCTTCCAGGCCTTGGCTGCTGGGTAGCTCCTGGCGCCACTCAAGAGAGCCTTCCCCCTTGCCCCTTCCCCGAGCCACTTCCTCACAACCTTAGCTTGCGCGGCAGGTTCCGTGGGGCTCTCTCGGGCTGGTGGGTGCTGGCTGTCCAGCCCGCGCACCGCCTTGGCCACGCCCCCAGCCCGCCTTCCTCCGCGAGTGCCGGTCCCCACTTCCGCGACCGCGGGGCTGAGACGCTGCGGTCCCACCCCTCCGCTCCCACCCCTCCGCTCCCGGGCCGCCAGGACACAGGTTACCAGTTAGGGCCCAGAGCCCAGGAGCCCTGGGAGCCGTCCGGAAACGGGCAGCGCTGACGGCCATCGGGCCTCACACCCGTCTACCCACCTCCAGCCCGCCACCCCACGCGAGCCTCGGCCTCGCCAGGAAGCCCCCGACCGGCGCCCGACCCCCGCAGCCAGCTAGCTCGGCAGCCGTCGGGGCCCCGCAGAGGGGGTTCACCCGGCTCACCGGGGAGCCATGCGTTCT